TCTATTGAAAGGTCAGGATATGTTGTACTGAGAATGTCACAGATCAAAATCTGCCTGGCGACAGGATCACCAAATGAGGGGTCAGAACAAAGTCAAGAAACCAACCAAGGAACGAGGATGAAGGACAACGCGGATGACGTCAGATCATTTGCATGACTCTTATTATAAATTCTCTATGCAGAGGAAACTCGTGGTTCCGGCTTCCTGCAGCCGCTATGCACTATACTTCAGATAAAGACGGAATCCAGAGCTCTGTATTGCTTTTCTTGAATATTTTTTCTTAAATATTGATTGTAATAAATATCTCAAAGGACAGATTTGTCTTTGAGCATTCTTCATAAAAGGACACGCAGGAATGGTTTAGTCCAACAGTTTTAAATGTTTAAATGATTTCCAGTTGTGTATCAAGCTCACGTTGTTTTCTGGGCACCCCCTAGACAGCCAGTGGTTGAATGATGACATGTGGCTAAACATGTCGTCACTGGTCAGATTGGGCAGGGGTCCAGAGAAAACTATGAAGTCCGAAGTTACACTACGACTCAATATTAATTTTAGTGACCTCCAACTGGCGAAATTGGGAGTCATTAGCACTGACATGAATAACAACTTTACTGTATTTACACTTGTCCTTAGTTAGCAGCTTCAAATAGGATCCGATGTCACCTGCTCTGGCCCCAGGAATACATCTGACTATGGCTGCTGGTGTCTCTAGCTTCACGTTTCTGACTATGAAGTTGCCAATTACCAGAGTTGTCTTCTCAGCAGGTGTGTCACTGAGTGAGGAAAATCGATTTGAAATGTGAACAGGCAGGTGATGCACTGTGTGCATTCATTTCCAGCTACGACTCTTGTGAACTGTCACTCAGCCACTCGGCTGAGCTCCCAGCTGCTCGGGAAGCTCTGGGGGGTGGCTATCTTGGGTTAAGCAACATCTAGGAGGCTCCACACCTGCTACATGGGCCTGGCTAGCTGGCCTGTTTTCCATGGTGCGGAACTGCACACCAAGAATCCTACTGTCACGTAAGCAAACAACCAATACTCAGCAGATGGCCCAACACTTGTACTGTGTACATTTGCACAGCCTGATGTTCATCTCTGAAACTGACTGTCTTCAGTTCGGTTTTATATGCAGTCTGTTGCTAGTCTAAACTGTTATGTTCAGCACAGAACAAGGTTATACCAGGTGACAGGAGCATCCTGTCTCAAAGTGATGCTGAAAAACTGGTCCATGCATTTGTTACTTCCAGGCTGGACTACTGTAACTCCTTACTATCAGGATGTCCCAATAATTCCCTAAAAAGCCTCCAGTTAATCCAAAATGCTGCAGCCAGAGTACTGACAGCAACTAGCAAGAGCGATCATATCTCTCCCATATTAGCTTCTCTCCACTGGCTCCCTGTAAAATTCATAATAGAATTTAAAATCCTTCTCCTAACATACAAAGCCCTGAATGACAGGGCTCCATAATATTTTAAAGACCTCGTAGAGCCTTATCATCCTAACAGAGCACTTCGCTCTAAGAGTGCAGGTTTACTTGTGGTTCCTAGAGTCCACAGAAGTAGAATGGGAGGCAGAGCCTTTAGCTATCAAGCTCCTCTCTTATGGAACCAACTCCCAGTCTCAGTTTGGGAGCGGACACCCTCTCTACCTTTAAGATTAGACTTAAGACTTTCCTTTTTGATAAAGCTTATAGTTAGGGCTGGATCAGGTGACCCTGAGCCTTCCCTTAGTTATGCTACCATAGGCCTAGGCTGCTGGGGGGCCTCATGATGCTCTGAGTTTCTCTCTCCTCTCCTCTCCTCTCCTTTCCTCTCCTCTCCTCCCCTCTCCTCTCTCTCCCTATGCTTCTATATGCCACCATTACACATTACTAACTTTGTGTCTCCTCTCTCCCGTAGTGTGTCTTCTCTCTCTCTCTCTGTACCTTTCTGCCGGTAGCCCTGGCCCTGGAGCTCTACGTCCCTGATAAGCAGACACCAGCCACATCGACCTGATCTCTCCTCTCTCTCCTCACCTCATATGTTGACAAAGAAAAAACAATGAGCCTCTGTTTTTATTTTTTATGCTAATACAAAATGTACAAATACCAGTGCAAGCATCTGCTTTGTTTGAAAGTGTGATGCCACCTAGTTGTTTAGTTCTCTCAGACAGTATGGCGTCCACACAGAGGTGGCCAGGGCAGGGCTGGGCACTTTTACAGCTGTTGTTGTTGGTGTCTTTCTCTCCGGCTGAGGAGCTGGTGTGCCGGCAGAAAGGGGATCCTGAGAACCCCCAAATATTTAAGGATGGAGACATTATATTGGGGGGAATCTTCTCTTTCCACAGCAGCTGGAAAGACAGAAAGGATGCCTACAATGACAAACCACTGCCTCTTGAATGCATGAGGTAAATTACAGTGTAGAAATTAATTTATATTTAAAATATCCAGAGCGAGTGCATACAGATACAAATAGGTCTAAAAAAATTATCAAATTGAGTATTACATTTACATAATTAATTTTTGGGAATTCATATATTGCCCTCAATATGTTTTGTTGTTTTTTATTTTCGAGTACTGCTACAAGTACAACTACTTAAAACTGTCTGCAAGTTTGAGTTTCACAGAGTTCCGGTTTGCCCAGGCTATGATTTTTGCCATTGAGGAGATTAATAACAGCAGAAACCTACTACCTGGCATCTCTCTGGGCTATAAGTTGTATGATGACTGTGGTTCTAGTGCCAGAAGTGTGAGGGTTGCACTGGCTTTGGCTAATGGTAATGAAGTTGTGTCTGTACCCACTGAGCCACCATGTACCAGACCTGCACAAGTGCAGGCCATTATAGGAGACACCTCTTCCTCTCCTTCTGTTGCTGTTGCTACGGTCATCGGACCCTTTCATGTCCCACTGGTGGGTAAGATTAGTAAATATGTAATTATATTTGTTTAAATAATCATTTATAATTTTGCAGGTGTACCAGCCGTCAGAGGTCTTTTCTTTTTCTTATAGATCAGCCCCTTGGCCAGCTGTGCTTGTCTCAGTGACAAAACCAAATACCCATCCTTCCTCAGAACAGTACCCAGTGACTACTATCAGAGCAAAACCCTGGCCCAGTTGGTCAGGTACTTCGGTTGGACTTGGGTTGGAGCTATTAGAGGCAATGATGATTATGGCAATAATGGCATGGCTACATTCACAGAAACTGCACAGCAACTGGGCATCTGTCTGGAGTATTCTCTGTCTTTCTTTAGAACAGATTCATCAGAAAAAATAAACAAGATAATTGACATTATCAAGTCTTCCACCTCCAAAGTGATTGTAGCTTTTATCTCTGATTTGGATATGAATGTGCTAATATACAAATTGTCTCAGCACAACGTGACTGGGTACCAGTGGGTAGGAACTGAGGGCTGGATCATTGATTCACAAACTGCAGAAATGGATACACATCATGTTCTGGATGGTGCCATAGGCCTGTCCATCCCCAAAGCACATGTCAGTGGCATGAGAGAGTTCATATTAGATGTGAAACCACTTAATTCATCTAATCATGAAATGTTTACAGAGTTCTGGGAGACTTTATTTAACTGTAAATTCAAACAGTCAAACTCATCAGCAGAGAATCAGAGAGAATGTACTGGACATGAAGATCTGACTGGAGTGAAAAATGGCTTCACTGATATGTCATTCATGCCTATATTTAACAATATTTATAAAGGAGTGTATGCTGTGGCACATGCACTTCATAATATTCTTGGCTGTAATGAAACATGTAACTACAATGTGCAGCTAGATCCACTCACGGTGACTTCAACATTAAACTGGTGCAGTCTGTGTATCATACAGTTTAGTCAACACACACATTGTTTGAAATAATTAATATCTATCTTCTTAGAATTTATGTCACATAAGAAACATTAACTTCAAAACCAAGGAAGGAGATGAGGTTTACTTTAATGAGAATGGAGACCCAGCAGCAAAGTATGAAATTATAAACTGGCAGCCAACAGAAAATGGCATTCTGGACTTTGTCACAGTTGGACTTTATGATGCATCCTTACCTGCAGGCAAACAGCTGAGTCTGCAACTTGAGTCATTTATTTGGGCACAGAACTCAAAACAGGTAAACTACCTTGCCATTATTGTTGTTATTACACTACATACAGTATTATTATTATAACTGTATTATTGTTACTGCATCATAGTGTACAATAAAGTTTTGCAAAGATAAAACTGATACAAAATGAATGGCCATACATTTTTCTCAGCGTCATTTTGTCCATGCAGGTACCTGTATCAGTTTGCAGTGAGAAATGTCCCCCAGGAACTCGCAAGGTTCTCCAGAAAGGGAAACCTGTCTGCTGCTATGACTGTATCAGATGTGCAGAGGGAGAAATAAGCAACATGACAGGTCTAGTAAAATTCAAGGTTTTACACTCCATTGTGCAACAAAACAAAAAGTAAGGCAGCCATATTTATATGCCAGGTATATGAAATTTGTGCCCAAGTGTGACAAATTAATATGTGTATTCAAAATATTCCATTAGAACTGTTTATAGTAAAACAACAAAATCCATGGATGTAGAAGGATTGTGTCATAATTTGTCAGCGTCTCACTGTTATTTCAATCACAATTTCAGACACTGCTAAATAGGAATACTTTGTTAAACTGATATGACAATTATGTAATAAACAATAAGAAAATATCCATATAATTAATAATTATACCTTGTCGCTGTCACTAATATATTCATTCTTTAACTCATATTCACATTTTCACAGAATAATAAATTAGAAAACAAAAATAAATCTACTAAGCCAATCTGACAGATAACATTTCAGATTCTATCACCTGTGAGCGATGCCACCCCGAGTCCTGGTCCAGTGAGAGAAGAGATGCCTGTGTAAAGAAGGAGGCAGAGTTTCTGTCATATGAAGAAATTATGGGAGTACTGCTCACTGCAGCGGCCTTATTTGGAACATGCATGACTGCTGTTGTGGCAGCCATTTTCTTCAGATACAGGACAACTCCTATTGTCAGGGCCAACAACTCTGAGCTGAGCTGCCTGCTGCTCTTCTCCTTGACTTGTTATATGTATCCTCTGGTTAACTATTTCTCCTCCTTTTCCATTTAAGAATTTTACCCAGTTCAAGGACAAAATCATCTTAGAGTGTGCTCTGGGATCAGCTGTAGGCTTTTGGGCTGTACTTGGGTACATAGGCCTTCTGGCCATATTATGTTTTATTCTGGCTTTTCTTGCTCGGAAACTTCCTGATAACTTCAATGAGGCCAAACTGATCACCTTCAGTATGCTGATATTTTGTGCAGTCTGGATCACTTTTATTCCAGCATATGTCAGCTCTCCTGGGAAGTTCAGTGTTGCTGTAGAGATATTTGCTATTCTGGCCTCCAGTTATGGACTGCTCATTTGTACTTTTATTCCAAAATGTTATATTATCTTACTGAAACCAGAGAAGAATACAAAAAAGAATATGATGGGGAAAGGGGCATCAAAATCACACTAAAAACAGAAAATATGGCAGTCAAAGCATTGTAATGCCATTGTAAACTTTGCCCTGCCCCCTCTCCAAGTGAAGACAGCTTCATGAAAACTACCTCCAATGCATAGACCAGGGGTGGGCAATTAATTTTTAGATGGGGCTACATGAGAACCCTGAACTGTGTTGGAGGGCCGAGCAAACAATAACTTTAAATTAATTCTGCTCAATATTCATTATCTCCCATTGTAAAAAGCAATAAATTATATGTGTTGATTAGCTGTTGCTGGTAATAAGAAGAATAAGCATATTCTGTAAATATTTATATAAATATATGCAATTGTGGTGTGATCAAACAGGAAAATACTCCTATAGAAGTAATAAACAGTAAAAACAAAAACAAACATTACATCACAGTTCCATTTTATTTTCAACTTCACATAACACTGAAAAGGTGTTTTGCAGCACATTAAAATAAGCCATCTGGTTACCTGGAGATATAAACATCCTGTCTCTACAGAATTCAAAGTAAGCAGTTTCTACTTGATTCTCATCAATACAATTGTAAGCTATACAGTATAAGCAAGGAAAATAAATGTATTAAAAGTTAACCAAAGCACAGTAGTTCTGGACAATAATCAATACAGCTGTAATATGTATAGACAAGGACATT